ATTAGCTCAGCTCAGCGGTTCTCAACTTTTTAGACTCGAGGCCCCCCTCGGAAAATGCCAGCTGTTAGCTTTCACTCATTTTCTGATTACAGAAAAATAACAGAGCAATTCCTCTTGTGTAAAGACCTCAGAACGACCACAACAGGTCAATGTTTTTGACACTCTGGATTCCTGTTTGACATCTCTGTGTTTATGTAATGAATCATGTTTGCACACCTAACGGTGCTAGCATTGTGTGGCAATCCATGGCACCCTTCCAGTTCTCAAGGGTGAGAACCTGAGAGAGGATATCCGGACTCTGTGTGCTGTGGCACCCTGGTTGAGAATCACTGACTAGAGCTAATTTTTAATTTTTTTTTAATTAATTGGTTTGAAATCATGCTTATTTTTAAAAATGAGAGTATCCCCTTATTTAAAGAACAATTCAAATGTATATTCTTATCTGTTCAGTGCACTGACAGTAGCATTTTGTTGTTACACATTAGCCCTGGGATAGTAAAATGCTCCAGCAGTCCTTTGAGGATTCACAAAGGACTCCAGGGGTTGTCATGGTGGAAGGTGCAGTGTTTAAAGCTCCTGAGTGATTGTTTTCCAACTGGATGTAGATAACTTTGAAAGGAGAATGAAGAGAGATTGTGGTTGAATAATTCTCAGCTGTGATAAGAATGACCTCATACACTGATGCCTCAGCCTTCACTAATAAAAACAAAACATTCATTTATTCATTTATTTTAATATTATGATCATAATTGAGTCCAAAAAGCAAGATAAATCTATTCCTGTTTGCATCTTCTGGTCTGAAAAACTTAAACACCCACAGTAACAGCACTGTCTTCATTCATGAAGGAGATCAGTAAAATTCCTAGACTACAGGAAAGAAAAAAAAAAAAGTATTAGGTGGAGGGCTTTTCTGGGAATATTAGAAACTGTGACTTAATCAAATGGATCATGTCTCTTTGTCCCAGCTAGCTTAGTGGTTCTGAGGGAGAGAAGCAACTCCTTTTTCTGTAACTTGTCTTTCTGTTGTCTTTTCTGTATAAGGGATGGATGCATAACCCTAAAATACAGTCTTATCATTGTTGTGTTAGTTTTTTGTTCTTGGCACATACCAGACTTTTAATTACTTTTCTGTAGGTTTGTAAGCAGAATATTTGTAATACCCGACTTTCCTGATCTTCTGTTATCAGCTTCTGGGGTATGTATTCTGTTTCTTCTCCAAAAATGTCACTCCTTGAACTCTGACTTCAACAGTTATTTGCTTGTTTTTCAGGGACTTTCTTTCCCTAGAAACAGAAGAATTATACTTCAGTGCCAACACTCCCAGTATTCTACCATGTTTGGTCTTTCTGTCATTAGTGAGATGGGTGTACTTTGATTTGCTTTAACACTTTTTAATACCACAAGCTGCTTATTAAGTAGGTAATATTTTGCTATTGGGCTCCTAGAAAGAACTGGAGTTGACTTTTTCTATATAAAGTGGAAGTACTAGCACCTTAGTATTTTTAATTGTAATGGAACCCCAAACATTTCAATGTCTGTTTATGGAATATTTTGCAAGTTACCGAGTGTGTGAACAGTAGAATAATCTAATGTATGTTGGAGTACATGGCTCAGAAAATACCGGAACATCCAAAATTTGCCCAAATGCATGGTGTAGTAATACCTGCAGATACCAAATCTCAACTTTCACTGTCTATGGCCCTCTCACCTACTTGGGAATTGCATTCGAAGAAAAAATATTAAAGTTTCTGAAGTGTCAGATCTCATGTAGTAGTTTCACTGAAACATTTTCAGAATCTACTCATGTTTTAATCCAGGTTTATAGCCAAAAACCTATATCATAATTTTCCATTTCCAGTACATTCTTGCCAACTTTCAGTCTTATTCTTTTTGACTCTCCACCTTTATTCTTCTCTTCTTCACCTTTCTGCCTCCTTTTCAGTTCTGAAATGTCATTCTTTGTAGATTTTTTTTTTTTTTTTTTTTAATTCTCAGAACAAACCAGAGGATTTCTTTAAAATCAATAATTCCCTAATTCTGCTGTCTCTGTTCACTTCTGCACACTCTGGTTTTCTCCTCTTCCAAGAGTAGATCTTGTAGGTTCTGCATAATCTGTTCAGTTTCTTTTTGGTTCTCATATTTTTTTATCTCTTGGGCCAGAAAAATTGCACAGTCTTCCTCTCTAATTCTTCGTGATTAACTCTTACCTTGGGGCATGAATATATTTTGATCAAGGGACTGTTAAAGCAGTTTTGAAGTAGATTAAATGTTGGGCCAGGCAGCCATGACAATTAATGGCATTTTAATGAGCAATGAATGCTAGAATCCTAGATATTTTTCCTTGGAACATTTAAGATGAAAACACTTGCTTAATGCTTAAAAACCTAGGTTACTGAATTTCTGAATTATATCATATGATAATAGAAAAGAAGTTTTTTATTGGGAGCAACCCAATATAGTACCAGATCTAGAGAGACTAACCAATCTGAGGTGAGCCTCAGTGCCAGAAAAAGGAAATAATATTGTGTGTTAATATGTGTGTGCAGCCCTAATAGATTATTTAATGCTAATATGACTGTACAAAAAAACAACTTACCCTATAGAACTGAATTACTATAATGTTACAGTCACCCTTATAACTTTACTTTGATTTCTTAGTTTTGCTTCTCCAGAGATCCTGTCTCTGGTTCCTTTGCACTACCTTGCTGAGCAGTTTTAGTGATAGTGACGAACCTGTCTGCTTTTCATTCTTAAACAGAATCATTGAAGATGACTCTCTTTCAGAAAAGTCTTTAATCTCTCCCTCCAAGCAGCTGTAACATGAAATGAGGACTTTTTTTCCTGTCTTATACAATTCAAACTGGTTTGGGTGATATACAAGGGGAGGGGAAGGAAGGGCAACCTTAAAGGAATGCCATTAAGGTGATGAGCACATTTATTGTGCTATTTACGAAGCAGGCGTAAACCCACTCATCCAGCAACCTAATTTATACTACAAAAGGATTTTTTTTTTGTATGATTGAACAAGTTAGAATTGAGCTAAATTATGTTAATTAAAATGCCTTATCTGCAATTTGAAGATTTAGAATCTCGTTTGTGAGACCTGCCTAGGGAAATATGATTTAGCTTGTCTCTTAAGACCGTAAGAACTTCTCTGTGTCAGAGATAGCGTTAATCAACTTTTCCATTCCAACTTATTTAGGATTGTACTTTGAGGCTTTGGGAATATAAAAGTGGAAAAGAAGTGTACTGCTGTCATCTAAACAGTATCAGCAAGCCTGATGCAACCAACAATGACAAGGTATGGATATGCGAGTTGTATGTACTCATCTGTTCACTCTGCTACGGAGTCTTACAACTTCTAAACGTGTTCCGTCACTTTAGAATTGGGACCACCTCTCCAATGGCAGCAAAAGGCTTCGAAACAGCTTCAAAATGAAATTAGGGCACTCAAAACATTTTGAAAGTTTTGAAACATTTTGAGTTTTGAAGCTGAGCTTGCTGCAGCGCAGGCCCCTGGATCTGCGCATGGGACAACAGCAGGTTGCCACTGCTGGCTGAGACCAGCAGCAGCACCAGGCTTCCCAGCACTTGGTATGGGCTGCAGCCAGCACCAGTCTCAGCTGGCAGCAACAGCCTGCTGTTGTCCCGTGCCCCCCGGAGTAATCTGGCACAGACCCACAGCCTGCACAGGGGGTGCGGGCCCCGGGATCTGCATGTGGGATGACAGCAGGCTGCCGCTGCCGGCTGGGGCCAGTGTCAGCACCTGGGTCTGCCTGGCTCAGCCTGCACCAAGCATCAGGCAGATTCGGGTCCTGGCTTCAGGCAGCAGCGGCAGCCTGCTGTCATCCCGCACGCAGATCCAGGGGCCCACGTCCCCCAGGAGAAGTCTGGCACAACCCCGCAGCCCTCCTGGAGGGTGCGGACCCCCAGATCTGCATGTGGGATGACAGCAGGATGCCACTGCCAGCAAGTGATATGAGTTTTGCTTGTCAGCAGTTTGAGGTGTAGTTTCCCAGAAACGCCTGCACCTATCTTCTTGAAACTTGGCAGGTTTTATGCCCTCAAAAGGGGCTACCATCCCTGCAGTTTTCATCTGAATCGGGCAAGAAATGACAAAGTTATAGGCATTTTTATGATTCCCCATTATAGCCTATGGACAAAATGTCAAAACAGTTTTGACTGAATGAAATGGAACAGAGCTTTGAAATGAAACGATGAAACAAAACACTGTCCCTTCGAAACAGCGACATGGCAGTCTAAACAAAATGGTACTGTTTTGTACAGCCCTAATAGGTATTAAAACCCCTAATAGGCAGCAGGCCAGTTCAGCAAAATTCAAACAATATTCTCTTCAGACAACCAGATTTCTCCATTGTTGGCCCTTAACTGAGGACCGGAGGAGAGGCCAGGTTTCAGGGGCATGACAGTAACAAAATCACTGCTGTAAGTCTTTCTGCTGCAGTATTTGCCTATATTGGGTTATGACTGCTACAGAGGACAAATGTTATCTTTTGAGACCTAAATTGTAATCATGTCTATTAGGAAATAATTTTTCTTGTCACCTTGTTGTAGACTGTAGCTAATGTACAAACAACCAGTGGCTCTGGCTACTAAGAAATCTGATGGGATATCACTTAGGATTTTTTGCTGCTACTTTTAGTGGTTGCTTTTATTGAGACCATTGTGAATATACTGAAGCTTGAGGTGATGATTTGCTTTTGTTATAATCCTGCTTTGTTGCAGATGACAATGCATATAAATATGGATTTATTTTCATCATCCAATGGCCATCCATTGGGGAATACATGCTTGTTCTGAAGTGATGTAATGCTGGTCTCAGATCAGTCATCTCAGCTGATAACGGAGACCAGATTCTGTATAAGTGGGGGTAAGGGGCATAAATTAACTTTATTCTGTCCATTATTGTATAAGATGCAAGGATTTCTTAGTGTGGCTTCTTTTTGTAGGACCGACTGTGTAGTTGGGATAAAGTTATAGTTGGTCCCATAAGAGAGAACACCCTAAGAAATCCTTGCTGCTTGCATAATTTCTGGATTATCTTGGATACAACATCACTCTTACACTACCTTAGTCTGTAACACTCTATGAATATATCCCCCCTCCAAAGCTTTCACCTGACCTTATGTACAGGTCAAAATAGAAATGGTGTAACCCTACCCAAATTCAACTGTGTGGGATTAATTTTTCCCAGGGTTACTGCTTCTCACAAATGACATCAGAGGTTAATTTTAAGGTGTTGGCTGGAGCAGACATTAGGCCTGTAAAGAGTGTGTAAAATCTCTGCTAACTATGGCCTGTTGTTAAAATATTTCTTTTAGTTCGCTACTGGAGGGGTTTCACAAATGAACAGAATGTTGCCTGGGGCCTGATATTTCATGGCCAGCTGGACAATTGGAAAAAAAAGAAAGTAACAAGTTATTTCAAATCCATACAAAACCCCTTGCTGCCAGATTGACAGAGAACTGAACTGTGTTGATGAGCACGTCATACTTTTTTCCCACTTCTTTCTAATGCCAAGATGCATCTCATCTTTTTGTTATGATGCAGTTTGATAAAAGTAGATGGTGTTGTAGATATAGAATACAACTCTATATTCAGTATTTTTTAAATAACTACAGGACCTACTGCTGCTACTTGTCAGAGGAAGCCATCTCTCTTTCTATAGAGCTGCAGTAAATGTAGCTCCATGTTTGGATAATTAGCACAGTACTTGTTAGATGCAATTAATCTCTCAGACCTGTTCACCTGCAGTCCTTCCTAGTACTTGAAACTGTGAGTGCTCTATCCTGTACAAAAGGATCCTGTTTAAGTGTGGAATGATAATTTTGCATTTCTACAGCGTATCAGCTGTAGAACAGTCTCAAGAGTTTTTAACTGTATTTCCCTTTATTGAGAGTGACCTTTCCAGTGTTGTACTTCTTCCCAGACAGGAGCCCATGCTGCAAGGTCTTATTTTCAGTTGGATTACATTGCATAGTGGAGTCTTTCCTTCTCTCCACCGAAGATGTGTTTTTCAATTAACAATGCAAATGCAGACAGGAGCCACTATGTAAAGCTTCCTTCCAGCTGTTTATCTTCCAGTAGCCTTGGGCTCATAAACAGAATAGGGAAGTGAATCTGTTTCTTTGCATTCCCAGCCCCTTGCATTAAACTCTGCTAAAAAAAGACTCATGCAGCAATTATTATTTCTCCAGATTACTACTGTTGAAACATTAAATCATAGGAAGAATCCAGTGACTGGTCCTGAATTCAGCCCATTTTCCAGTTTACAAGCAAGTGTAAGCTGTGCAGTGACTGACTGCCTGTTCAGCCAGTACTGGCCAGGGGCTGGGATGTCTTTTTAACATGTCCCGTCAGAGTGATAGGGTTCCTTCTTCTGAAGGAAGAGCTGAATTCCTTGCCCATCTGAGTAGTAAAACTCCTGTTACCAGAGATGGCACTTCTCCAGAGCTTGCAATATTAATAAGGAGCAAGGTTTTGCCTTCACAGTCTTCTCTTTTTAGTTGTGTGGTTAGTAACATTGCAGGTCACACTTCTCTCAGCCTTCTTATGGGTTCTTTATTCCTCTCTAGCACTAAAAGTCTGTGTAACCTGATTTGGGGGGGTGTCATATGCTCAATCCAGTTTTCCAGCAGGAAGAACAATATTTCCTGCAAGAGCAGTTGTCTTTGCCCAGTAAAACACTCTCTTTTCTTGGCTATGAGAGCTTTCATTTAAATAGCAATGGAATTGCTCAGTCTCTCGCACCTTTTTTGTAGCACATACCCCAGTGGGAGATGGGGTTTATCACAGATAATTTGAGACCAACCTTACAAAATATTGGTTACTAAACATAGCATGTTTTTATATGCTAGAGCTCGGGACTGTCATTTTACTGTTACGTGTAATCTGTGAACCAATAGTAGGGTATTCCAGCTAAGTACCCTTCATTAACTGGTTCCTTCCCTTAATTCTTGTGCAGATGCTTAGGAAGAAGTTTTCCTCTCCTTCAGAATGCTGGCATATTTGCTATAGATCTCCCACAATCTTTGCTGATTGTATTATTTGGAAGGTTTCATTGACCCTTTAGATGGCCGAGAAGGGAGAAATGCAGAGAGCTTCTGGAAACTAGGACTACTGTTGAAGAAAATGTTTTGTGTCAACTTAAATTTGATCAAATTAGTTTTACTAGAGGTCTCCATTTAAGAATAATTCTTTATAGTAAGACTGAATTAATCATTAACCCCCCCCCATCCTCTCTCTCTCTATCTCTGGCTTAAGGTTGTAATCATGTCTCTCTCCTTTTTTCCCCCTCCCCTTTCTCACAGAAATATGCTGTGTCAAGAATTTCTTATTGTTGTCAAGGAAGTTACATTGCCATTTTATGTGACTGGTAAGAATAAAAGGGGATGATTGCTATAATCATAATAGCTACTTAAGGAGAGGGCAGGGGACAGTTAAGCCTTCGCTGCTGGATGTATCAGACTTCTCTAAATATATTAAGTGACTCTTGATCTTTTAAGCATCTTGGGCATGTCGGGACTTGGATTGAGAGCTCTTATTGTACTCAGTTCAGGCTGGCTTGGGTGACCCTTGCAGTGTTTCCTATGCAGTCTCCCTCTGTTGATCTCTCTGTGAGGAGGTGGGGGAGAAGCATCAAGAACAGAATCAGGATTTTATGGCCATTCCTCAAGCTCAATTCCTAAAGCACTGCTTCTGTTCCCCGTCTACCCCGCAGCTCTCAAAAACAATGGAAATCTCCAGGCTTAGTTCTGGTCCTGCTTACATATTGGACTGTATCATAGGGCTATAGAACAGGAGTTCAGTTTTTAACTGGGGGGGTGCTCCATTTTCAAACAGCCTTAAAATCAACAGTTGATGACCGTGGTGCACTTTGGGCCCAAAGGTATAGGGCAGGGGTGGGCAAAATGGCAGATCCAGTCAGCAGCTGGACTCCATTTCCCAGCAGCCCCTGCCTGTGTGGCTGGGGCTGGTTTCAATGGAAACCCCCAGCAGCAGCCACACTATATGATAGCATGTGGCTGGGGTTTCTGTGGAGACTGGGCCCAGCAGTACTGGCAGGGCGCAGAGCTGCTCTGCAGCTGGGCTTGGATCTTGCAGCAGTAACAGCATGGCCTGGAGCTGGGGCAGAGCTGCAATCTGCAGCCTGCAGGACCAGGCAGTGGCTTGTGGCTCTGCCTGGCTCCTTGTAACACTGTCACGCCTGCAAAATCCTTGCCCAGCTGCAGAGCAGCTGTGTGCCCTGCCAGCAGGGGTGGTGCTGTGGAGGGGAAGGGGGGGCTATAGTCACCCCTCCCAGTGCTGCTGCTGCGTCTGCCTTGCCTTGCACAGATGGCAGCAGTGGATCCTGCCCTGCTCCTGCCTGCAGCACAGCCCCCACACCAGGAAGAAGCTAGCACCTCTGTTGCCTGCCAGTGCTGCTGGGGCTGGTCTCCATGGAAACTCTGGCCCTGCTATAGCTGGCTGCTGTTGGGGCCTCCATGGAAACTGGCCCCAGCTGCGCAGGCAGGGGCTGCTGGGAAATGGAGTCCACTGCCAGCCAGACTTTGCCTGCCCCTGGTACAGAGTCTGCTGTGGAGCAGAGAATAGTGAGCAACAGGGATATGGAATCAGTGACCAACTGTGCTGCCTAGCTCCAGGGCTAACATCTCCACTTTTCTACAACCTAGTAAACCTAGGAAGAGGCAATTCTCCTGATACAGGCATAACAAAAGGAGAAGACTCTTCCTGATTAGCCTGTTTAGTGAAGTTGCCAAAGCCCCATTCTTCTAGGCTTGGGTGCTTACTGTAATGGATCTTGGGAGGCTTTGCATCTGGAGGTCAGGGGTGTGTGTGGGGAGGCAGCAGGAGGAGGGAGTGGAAGGGCAGGAGGAGAAACTGATGCTGGCAGGTGACTGAAGGGCAGTGAGGCCTTCCTCTTGTACCAACCTCCGTACAAAATCCTCTTCCCTGGGCCCATATGGGCACTTTGGCTCCACAGACCTCCTTGCTTCCCTGCATGCACACTCTTCTAGTTCCATTCCCTTATCTCCCTCTTCTATCTGAACCCTGAGGCCAATTTGCTGTAAAACAGTGCATCTGATGATAAAAATTCTCTTTTGGCCAGCAACTTATTTTTGCTTTTACTTCAAAAGTGTGTGGCTTCTCCACTCAGCTGAAGTACAGCTGCACTCCCTTGCAAAAGATCAGAGAACTGGTGCCCTTTGAAGTAAAAGCATTAGGAAACAGCTGATGTACCTCAGTCTTGCACAGTTGTTTGTTCCAGCTGTTTCTAGCCGCCCCCCCCCCCGAAGATGAGGACTTGTGGACCACCTGGAGTAAGGAAGAATCTGGGTTCCACTAGATAACCTTCTGAAAAGCGGTTTAAAATTCTGCAGTGTCTACAAATTGGGGTGTCCTCTGAGGACATAAATAAAGTACCACTTAAATGTTTGGGGATGTTTCTTAGCAGTGCACTTAATGCTGCTGCCTTCACTATGGCAGGAGTTTTGGAATTAGTGGGTAGGTGCAGTTTATTGCATATAAGTGATAGTTATGGGTGGGTTTGGTAATGATGGTAATTACCTTTTTATTTCTCTCTAAAGTATTCCCACAGTTTACATATTCCAGCTTGTTGCTGATACTCAGCAGCTAATTCACAAACAGCAAATCCCTTTGAACCATAAAGGCTGGGATGTTGCCTTGGAGGAAACGGGCGAGCTCTGGATTTTCCAGGAAAACAAAGTAACACCTCTTCTGTTGTACAAGCCTATGGATGGGCAGTGGCAGGTTAGCTGCACTTTGATAAAATCATCTATTTTGCATCTGCTCTAGTCCTCAGCAAGAAGTAGTCTAACTATAATGGATAAAAATGCAGTGGCCTCATTGCTTTAATGCATTATGGCTCTAAGCTAAATTCAAAGCTAGCTCTCCTTGCCTGTGGTCTCAGCCAATTTATTCCAATTGATTTTTGCACTAGTGCCTTTTCTAAAGTCCTTTTTGTCCCTGAGCTTGGTGTGACAAGCAGGGGGCTCTTGGCAGTGTTCTGCTAGAAAGAAAGACAGAAGCTGAGAAGTAATGCTCCGCACCAGCCCTTCTTACCATGTGCATCAAAGAGAGCAAGCAGAAGGAAAAAAAGCAAAAGCTCTTCTATTGGTAAAGGTCTTGTTTCCATTGAGAACTGAGTCAGGGTTGAGCTGCATGCTATCAGAATCTTTGTAGCAGCCCTCATAACTGGGCGGACCATTTACCGTTGTAAAAGGATTTACACAGTTGGAAAGCTGTTAATTTAAATTAAGCTTCATGGGCATGTTCTTGGACCCTCATTTCTTCCCCACAGTGTTTCTTTTTTGATTCCCACTTTCTTCTGTATCAGTGGGTAGGCATCTATTTCCAGGCTCCCTTAGACAGAGTGGACCAGGCTTTAGGGGGAAGAAAAAAACCCAAAACCCCAGCCCTTGAAGTTCTGTTAGACCTTGCCATCACTATGGTCAGGTTAGCTGTGTTCATTCCTTGGTGTGCTGGATAACGTGATATGCCTTGTACAGTTATTTTGAGTGTAGTGAATTATGTTTTTCTTTTAGCCTGTGAATGATGACAAAGGATTACTGAAAATGTCAAAATACCTGCACGACAACTGGACAGTGTTTGAAGGTGAGGAACTTTGGTTTAAAGAACCAGACAATGTTATTTACTGTTTAAAGCACAAGTGGGATTCAGAGAGAACTTGTAGTTTTCTCACAGGCTTTAGAGAAGATGCATAAAGAGGGAAACAGGCAACGATGTAGCTACCTTGTAAGTCAGAGGATATAGTGTTTGTAAAGTGCTTTGCAGTCCTCCAGTGGCAGTCTCTCTATGGGAAACTTTAAACAGTTGTAAAAGGCCTTAGAGCAAGAGAAATATCAGACTTATTCTGTAGCATGGCTGTCCATATCTGAACTATGGTATGCATTAAATTAATTGGACATGTTGGACCTGCATGCACATTAGTAGACCAACCTGCAATGCTGTTCTCAGTGTCTTTTCCCAAGCATAAAATTAAAGACAAAACAAAACACCCAGTTGATTTGTTAGCCATTGGCTAGCAGGAAATGAGTTCCCACCTATGTTGAGCCCTTCATCCACTTTAAAGGAGATCCCATTTTTGCTCAACTTGAACTATGATCAGGCAACCTAAGGAAGCTTGCTGGACCTGTTCTGTGACTACAGGACATGCCTTCTGGTCTGGCAGCCCAAAGCCTCTGAACAGTCATGCAGGTAAACATGTAATGGGGTCTGATGTGTGATCTACACAGTTGTGCCTCCTGCCAGGCTACATGTGCACAGCAGGAGACATGATTATGGGATTGAGCATCAGATTCCATTGTGCCTTATTGCTGGTGCAGGGGGAGCCTGGGATTATGATCACAATCCTGACCAAGCTCCCATGGTTGGAAGCCCACTCAGCTGACAGAGCTCCTGGCCGGGGGGGAGGGGCATGCACCATGTGTTCCTTGCAGCTGAAACTTCCATCTGCTGATGCGGACTCCCAGCCATGGGGGTGCAACATGTGCTTCTGCAGCTGGGAGCCCTATCAGCTGATGGGACTGCCAGCCACAGGGACATACCTGGCCACACATTTGCTTAATAGCATAATAGGAACCAGCCACAGAATTATTACACATTTTTTGTGGAATAACTTTGTGGTTTATTTCTTGTTTTAGAACTCCATTAATTGCTTTATTGTGTGCCCAGGTTACAACTTAGGATGTCGTTGTTGTCATCGGCAGTCTCTCATGGTCAAGGATGATGATCACTCCCATGGGTCAAGTAAAGGGTTGTAGATGAGTCTGTTGATAGTTAAGAAGGCTGATCCTAGAACTGCAGACTCTGGCAGATCACAGGTGGTGGTTAGAGAGGGTTGGACCATGGGTTTCTTGGTCTTGCTTCCTTTCCTTCCATTTTGGTTGTTTTTTCTGTGTCCAGGATGAGATGGTTTTCCTTCTTTCACAAGGCGTAGCCCTGTCCCAGGCTAATTTTTCCCAATTTGTGATGTCAATGCCACGCTATTTACTGTTTGTCTCCAGTGTCTTTGAAGTGTTCCCTCTGTCCCCCTCATATCCTTTGCCCTTGGCTGAGTTGGGAGTATAGCAGTTGGTTTGGTAAATGTACATCAGGCAGGCACACACCATGCCTTGTTCACCACAGCCAATGTTGAATGATTCCATACTGGTGGTGGTCGTGTCAGTGAGGACACTGGCATTTGTGTGATGATCCTTCCCCTTCATGCCAAGGAACTTCTGGAAGTAGCGCTGGTGAAAGCATTCCAGTCCAAATGTTGGGCTCCCTGTAGGTCACTCAAGCTTCACAGCCAGAGGAAAGAGTTGGGGTTACCACAGCCTTATATAGTAAGAGTTTTTTGTTCGAGTCGTGATTGCTGAACATGTGATGATTCGGTCTTCTGAAGGCAGAGATGGTACATCAGATCCTGTACTCCAGTTCCTCTGGTTAACCACATCTTAAGTGTAACATGGGGCAGAGGCCCTAGTGTCCCAAATGAAAGGATTAAGCAGTAGTGTTTTGGAGGAGGTTTTGTTCCTGTTTGTTCTCTACTCCTCCACTTCTACCGTCATCCCAGAAATATACCACTTACTGGCTTGCCTGGAGGAAAAGGTTATTGTCAAGGCAATAAAAAGCCTTTTAATTGGAAGCTCCAGTTATATGCACTGGTGGGGGTGGGTGTCTTATTATGTAGTCAGGTGCATTTTTAATTCCATGTATGATTGAAGTCTATTTTGGCCGCTCATGCTGGCAGGCAAACTGGGGAACTAAATTTACATTTTTTGATAAATCTGTGGAGAAAACATAAATCAGCTGAAACAGATGTGCAGAACTTTGGAAAATGTGATCTGTTTTAACATCCCATCTTAATAAACTACTTTTGAATGGTAGAGACTGTGATGTGTTGAAAACAACTTCTGCTGAGCTTAGGTTCAGTCTGAAGGTCAGTTTTGAAATCCCCACCCATCAGAAGGGAGACTTTGCTGCAGAGCTCCTATTTCAAGGTGTACACATATTAAAAACAGGCTTCTAAGTGGAAGTGAACAATATAGAAATATATCCTAGGGGAGGAAAAAAAAATTCCTGTAACTTTCTAGCAGAGCAAATTACCTTACTGTATTACAATAGTTTCCCTGTATCTGCAGTTGGGAAAGGAAGCCTGTTCAGATTATAGTGATTATTATAGCTAATTAACAAGAGGAGGCTCAGTTGATGAGCACCTATTCCAGCTGCATAATTAGTGCTTTTACAGATTATGAAAAAAATGTGACTTCATTCGCTAAAAGAATTGGGTTGCTTGGGCTGCCAAAAAAACAAATAAACCCTGTTTTAATGTTTTATATCCTCTTCTTTTCTTCTTATGCAGTTTGTGATCACTGAATCTGTAAGACCCTATATCGTCAAACACTTTAGAGGCTGAAATTGAATACTTAACCCTTCATTTGAATAAATTACCCATGAACAATTCTGCAGACTCTTAATGCAGTGTGATTGTGTCAATTCTACTTTTCACCTAGACTGGTGCTTTGTTTTTTTCATCCAAAACCAATCCATTTCTCTTAACATGTAAGGGTTTTTGGGGGGTGGGGAAGGAAGAGGAAGGAGGATGAAAAAATTTAACAATCTGAATAGCTTCTGGAAATAGAGGCTGAACCTGGCAGCTGTCTCCTATACGCCTCATGGAAACCTCTCAGTTTTCCTCCTTTGTGGCCCAAGCCTTTTTAGAGGATTGGCAAGCATTTGTCGTGTGGTTAAGTTTACTGCCGCAGCCTCTTCAAGGATGTACCGTTTCAGGCTTACAAGGTAGTGGCAGAGTCTAGAAGAATCAGTGCTGGAAATTGGATGCATGTCCTGCTTACAATAGCTTGTCATTCCCTGAACTTAAAAAGATGCAGGGAATATTCAGCTGAGCACACTGCTCTCACTGGTGCTTAAGCTGTGTTTTTTGAGTATTGTGGAGCAAGTCATGCTTCAGTGGGATCTGTAGCAATGGACTACATCAGGCTGTCCAACTGGTGTCCCCTTGCAGGGTTAAAGATTAACCCCTGGGCTCCCATCAGCCACCATTCCTCCATCTCACACCTGCTGCAGAACAGCAGGGGGGCCTGGGCTTCCCCTCCCTCCTCCAATTTCTGCTTCCAGCCCCCACCCCAGGGATTGGGGTGGGAGGGCAGAGCGATACATCCTGTGGTGCAGTATGTGTGTGTGGAAGATGGGGGGGCAGGGGAGGGGGAGGAGGGCCATGCACACAGCATGCAGCCTGGGTACCCGTGCTGTTGTAGCCCACTTGTGCTGTTGTAGCCCATATGGTGCGTGACCCCTGGCCTCCTAGAAAGTTGACTACATTGACCAGCAATTTAAAAAACAGGAACTCAAGTTCAGAATACAGTGGAGTCACATCATACGTGCATTTAACTTACATGAATTCAACTATACACGCTCGGCGTATAGTTGAATAACAATTTAAATACTGTGGGCGATTCCGCCTGTCATTCTGCTCAATGAGTGAGCTGTTCCCTCTGCTATTCCCTCATGTTTTTTCCCATGCTGCACCTCACACATACACATGCACGTCATGAGCGGGGCCTCCCGGTCCCTCCTCTCGCTGTCCCTGGGACAATATATTTTGTCTAGATGCGATTTTCACCTTACGCGCTGACTTCAGAACGTAACCCCCGTGTAAGATGCAACTCTGCTGTACTACAATTGAGAGATGTTAACTCTCTGATACCTAACTTTCAATTTAAACCTCTAAACTTGAGGCACCAGTCTTTGGAAATCTTGGACGTGACTGCAATAGAAACACTTTTAAATACCCAATTGCGTTGAAACAGAATGCAGTGTTGGGTAATAGGTTAGCCAGAGCTGCATTACAGGAGTCAAGACTCCTATTTTAGACTCCCAGTGCTAGTTGTAATTGGGTGTAGCACTCAATGTACTCAGCTTCTCTTCTTTTGTCCCTCTCCCCACCTTGACACAGGGTCTGTGGGTACAGACAGCTGCTATCGCACTCTCTATAAGGCTTCATTTGATAACATGACCACTTATCTACAGAAGAAAGAGGAAAGGTTACAGCAGCAGCAGAAGAGGAAAAGAAAAGAGCTACAGCATGGTACTAATGGACAAAATAAAAAGATCAAGACACGAGAACCTCCCTTATGACACTGACTGCACCATTTGCATGTGACTTCCACCATACTTAAAACCAACTGATCTAGGCACTGAATTTTTTTTCCCTTTTAGTGTCAAATAAATGACAGACAGCCATTAGTGTTTGTACACTCAATCTAAGATGGGCTTCCTAATGAATCAAGCTAATGTTAACATGGCAATATCTCGCTTGGAAAAGATACTGTATTTGCTGTATATACTGTTTCTTGCCATATGTATCATCCTAATAATTTGAGATTTATAGTGGCTGCTTAAAAGAGAGTGTGAATGCAGTTTTAAGAATCTAAAGCTTAATAACTTCAGATTGGAGATAGAGCTTTACTTGAAGAATGGGATTGATATTGTCTACTCTTTTCCAAATGTCACCTATGTTTAGACTAGTTTCTCAAGTGGGAAAATGTACTAGTTTGAAGCTTACACCAAGTTTTTAGTTTTGTTTTAGACTGTTCACTTAATAACAGCCTGTAAGAGGAATCATGCAAAATGAACATTGTATTTCTTATTACGTATGTAAGGCTGTAGATGGCAGGTTCTTGCTGCTGCTTGTTTTAAGTTTTACCCCTGCAGATGTTATGTTGTGACTTCTGCCTTAAGATCCAGTTCAGCACTACTTGGAGTAACCTCCCCCAGGAACCACAGAAGAATAGTTTTTTTGTACGCAGTAAAAGGCGTCAACCAGCCCACCACTTACTACTTGAAAATGACTTCTGTTGCATTCTGATTCTCCAGCTTGTCTTTGAAAATGGCTTCTGAGAACACCGAGGAATATTTTATACCTTTTGCTTTCAATGGAAATTTGTTTGGAAGCTAGAATCTAATCTTTAGTCCTATGGCATTCATTCTTTTGTTAGATTACGGTGTCAAAGTTAATATAATGACAGAATGTGTATTGTATGCACCAGAATGCATCTTGTTTTCATAGAATATGCTGTTTGTCAGATGAGACTGTAAAACCAGGGTTTGTAAATATGTATGATCCAGCAAAAATATATGAAAGTATGAACTGAGAATATTTATCCTACTCCTTTTACCACTTCATGTTTAGTTTAAAGTGGTAAAACATGACATGCAATTGATATGCAGAAGGGACTGACAAACTAAATGTGAGGAGTGAGGGGGAAAACATGGAACACTTCTGGCATACTGGCTGTTCAGGAATGATGTAGAACCTGCTGTTGGCATCCACTCCAAGTAGGGGACAGAACTACCATATTCAGGATTGGGGCCCATCTAGTCTTACTGATGTTTAAAAAAAAAATTCTTAACATTGATTTGTTTTGAAAGTTCCTTTTGGGACATAAGTGTTGTATGGGCTACTATGGAACTACAGATGTAAGAATTTCATCTTAATGGTTCAATGCCTGTTCCTTTTATAATTGCTTTAAGGAGCCTTTAGAGCTTCTATTAAATGACTTGTGCCTTGGTGTCAGATGTGAGACAAGGATTAGCTACTCAGTGGGTACAGCTGTCTGCAAGTGCATGAATGTGCCGTAATCAACATTACTGCAATATAGCACCATTGCATGCTTTATTGTGACGCTAATGCACAGCAGACTCATTCTACTGTGCATTAGCATGGTTTCTGCCTGCTGTGCTAATGCACAATAGAATTAGTCTATTGTGCATTTAGTATCTTGTGTTGACATGCTCTGTGTCCCAGCAGCATCACCCCTTGATCCTGACAAAGTGAGCCTTCACACAGTGCCACATTCCAAATGTTTCTATCACTAAAAGTTTTCTACCAAACTAACTCTGAGCTAAATTCACAATAGGGTGTAGGTGTTTCAGCTGAACACCTAGGTGCCATGGAGAGCTTTTAAACCTCTGCTAAGTTGGCATCTATAGGCTTCTAGTGCACGCTGTCAGATTAGGCCTCTCATATAAGCAGCAAGGGGTAAGACTGAAGGTAAAGGAAGGAAAGTGTATTCCCTCCTACTCAAGGTTTCCTAGGTGAAAGTCCCAAAATTGATCGAATCCTAGGGGCTTAACTGCAGGTATACTGAGGCATTGACAGTGAGGAGCTTGATTCAGGCATTGAGTTTCTGTAGCTCTCCAGTGTTGGGGAGAGCTGCTTTGCACCCTGGAAAAAGACCATAGCACATGGTCCGCAATAAGACCGTTTATTGTACGACCAAAATATGACCATAACCTCTGCCTCAGTTAACGCAGTCTGCAAGAGAATATCCACTCTTTTTGACAGCATGTGCACAGTGCTAATCCCTTAATGCTAGAATCCTATTAAATGCTGTGGATGGATAGTTATCAATACTGTGAGAAATAACAAGATGTATATGCTAATATATATATAATACAGTAGTTATTGGACTCCTATAGAACTACTTTGATCTAAAATAGTAGGTAGCTGTTGGAAGGGCAAATAGGAAAGCAACCCAATGCATAAAGTACAAATTAGCCAGTACATGCAGACGATGGAGCAAGTTCTTAATCAGAAATGATGGGTTCCAAGGAAGTGTCAACCTTTGTCAGGCTAGGAGCTAAGTGACCATAAGGACCATTGTGCTACAGAGTTAAAGACTGTTCTGAGGGGAAGGGTCACTTGTTGGAAATTTTCTAGGGAGACAGGATTGCAGAGTAGTGACTCTGTGGAGGGAGTCTTGATGTGTAGCCTTCCTAGATAAGGCTGAGAGAAGAGCTGTGTGTGCATACAGTCTGTTTTGTTAGGTCATCACTGAAATGGTTTATTTCTAAGCAGGTAGTTTGCTTTAAGAAAACTATCTTGTCACTGCATTGACCAGTGTTAGTGTTTCAAAGCAAAGGGCTTGGAGCCAGCAGTTTCAAATCAGACTTGCAGAGGGAATCATGATTAGTACCACAGAACCAGGATTTTTCATATCCAGGTTGTTCCCAACCAATTTATTTCACAGTAGAACAAGCTGCTTGGCTGTTAAAAGATGTCACTGCTCCAATCAACTGGAGTATAGCCATGGTCATAGTGTCATAGAGAAGCAGGGCTGGAAGGGGCCTCCGGAGGTCATCTAGTCCAACCTTCTGCCTGAGGCAGGATCATCCCTATCTAAACCATCCCATACAACCTAATCATCAATCAGTCTGACAGCTGATTGGAGAAGTGGCACTCTGAAATAATAGCTACAGTGAACTGTCAACACACCTCTGAAGTCCCATGTACCTACATAACTCCATAAATTTGCCAATGCTTATCTTCACATGGGGGGTTGGCATTTAACAGTGCAAAGAATCATAGTTCTACCGTACTAGGGCCTGGTACCCAAGGGCCTGCTCTGGGAGTAGGAAACTCATGATTCCTCTGAGGCATCCAATGGCTAGAGTTATCAAGGCAAGAGCTTCAGTTTGTCCCCTGCTTTTGATGTGATCCATCTCTGCTTAACAACAGGTTTACACGTGACCTTACATTACCTCTTAGCATACTTTTATTTGTAGTGTTCATTCAAAAATACAGTTTTGCATTCTGTTTACTGAAACTGCAACAATTAGTGTTTGGGAGGAGGAAGATTTTTGGGGGAGGAAACTATAACTCAAGGGGTATTCATATTGCCAACACAAGAAATTCTAGGGATTCAAGCTCTGGAAAGGAGTCACAAGTTGTTACACTTACAGGACTGTGTTTAGCATAGGATTAAATTTTGAGATGTTCTTTTACTTCTTATAAGTGCCCTAACCCCAGCTACCATCTTGGTGCAAACCCACTAGTCCTTGCAACACATTAATTCTGATATGGGTCAGTGTAGGCAGACAGAAAGGCAAGATTTGCACTGTAATAGCACTTGATTTTATAGCGATTGATGACCCAACTACGTACAGCCCCCTCTCTCCCTTCCCACCCCTTTATGTTTTCTGTCTTCTCTTTACATCTCATACACTTTTCTATGCAGACATTTAGGCCATACTCACCACCGTGGTATTTGAAATATCTTTTGTGTTTAAAACTTGGTTCATGTTTACATTTTATTTTGGATTGAGGCATAACTTAATGCTTCACATAAAACAGGGGCATATCAACCATTGGCATAATTTCACAACTGAACCATGAAACATTACAATGGCCATTTACAGCTAAATGCAAGCTCACTCAGAACTGCATTAGATTTATGTTCATTCTGTAATACACCCACCTCTCTTGTGCTCTGATGTGCTGAGAGTTATGAACAGTGTTGAATGCTTGCAGTGCTATAATTATGTATTTATGAATACAAGTTCTCATAAAACTTCTGAGCAGTTCCTACCTTTCTTTGCTGTACAGAATTAAAAGCCTGGATTTAGTATGGATCACTGCTCTCTCCTGCTCTGAATGGAAATCAAGGATGGGGTGGGGGATGCTTACTGTTGTATGATAACCACACAATTCTTTCAACACAAAATATGACCTCAGTTGAAGGTCCAGTGACTGCTGCGACACCTTGAGTGGGCCAGGTCAGATGCTGGTAGCAATCTAGCCACAGTATCACAGAACTCTGCATGGACTAGTTTTCTTACAGACCAATGGACCTGGACACCAAACCCTGGGGTACTTGAAATCAAGGTCCTACTTGCACAACTTAAACTTAACTTCGCTAAACATTGCTGATGGAAGTGCCTTTCCAACAGCCTTCATGCAGAACCACAGGAACTATGTACTTTTGAAAGTTTGCCTATGCATGTATTTTGTATTCTCATCAGAGTAAATGCCTTTTTTTCATCCATTAATTTGCCAAGTGCTGACAACAGGCTTATCAATTTGCTCCCAGACTGAAGCAACTGCAGAAACAGCTCAAGTAAGGAACTGCAGCACTGTAAAGAAGGTCTAAAACAGAGCTCAGCCCAGGCCACGCTTTCAACCCAGCATCAGCTCAACTTACTCGGGCATAGGCCCTGCATGGTATCTTCTTCATTATGGTGCCCTGGGGAAAGAAGCTGCCAAGTGCCAAAGACTTACAGCTGCAGAGCAGCAGCTAAAACAGGGACTAGTATGAAGTACATCAGTTTTCTGAAGTTCTAACTAGACATCCTCACCTCGGCTGAATGGCTCCCCTTCATCCTCTGACCTGAACCCATCCTCTGCTTCAGTTATCTCAACTTCCTATATATTCTCTGTGCCCCCCTACTTCCTTTCCTTTATTGGTCAGCTGAATCTCCCTCACCTACCCGTACAAGGTTCCTTCTCCCTATCTTGTTTTTAACATTTGGCTGATCTTACTTCCCGAAGTTGGAAGTTACTTGCCAAGTTGCTTTTCCCCTTTTTGGGACCAGGAAAAGGACTGGTGCATAAACTGTGTGAAGAGACCATGACTTAGGACATTGCCTACCCTTTGGGAGCAGCAGTACAGCAGCAGGAGAAGCAGCAATAGCAACAGCAGGGCAAGCCGAGGAAGTACCCCATTCCCAAGTGATTACTAGGACTAGTGCTCACAGAGCTGAGTAGCTAAAGGGCTTTCAGAGCTTGCTCCCAAAAGTAGCAGTGCACAAGTCTGTACTTGTACACCACCAAATCCCAGGGATAAAGCAATGTGGCCACCTTAGTGTGACCCCTGAGTAATGCCCCAGGGAACATAAGCACAACATTGACATGGCTATGTTGCTTCACATCTGGGGTCTGGTGCATGCAGAAGTGGCAGACTTGGCAGGGGTAGTGTAGACATGACCTAGTCCAGGGATGGCCAACCTGCAGTCTGTGCCACTTGTGTCCCCTGTGTGGCATGCAGCAGATCCGGGAGGGGAAAGATAGCACAGTGACAGGGCAGGATGCAGAAAGCAGAGCAGCAGCTTGGTCAGGGAGTACAGAACATGTAGCAGATAGCTGAGCAGCAGATTGTGTAAGGGGAAGGGATCAGAGTAGCACTTGGGGAGGGTGTAGGGCTAATTTGTGGCACACCTGCTACAAAGGTTGGCCTTTACTGCACAAGAAGCTTGTACCACAGCCCTGAGCAGCTATGGTGTTTACCTTAAGAGCCTGAACCACCAGTATAACCTAGTTTACTCATGGTTCTTAGGCAAGAAAATCCCCACCGATCCTTTCTGTGCACTGGGCTTTCCTCTTTCCTTTCATATGAAAAAAGTGAGACACCCCCTCCCCCCTTCACCAGCCTCTAAGGCCAGATCCAGACATTCAGGCACGTGTGGTTTATGGTGCCACAAACTACATGTGTAGTACATTAAACCATGTGAGGCACTGCTAATTTGCAACACTGGGGCAAAGTTTTCTACCAGGATTTCCTGGTAGCAAAAAAAAATAAATAAAAAAAAAAAAGTATTGCAGATTCATTTGTAG